TTTGGGCTTGCCTTCAGTGCAATTAGCACAACTGTTCGAGTATGGCTGTTTAATTTCTTCTGCAAGTGAAAGGATTGTTGCTAGATTGAGAAAGAACTTATTTAGTCACCTGATAAACTAGGTAAATCCAGTAGCGGAGCTAAAAAATTTTCTTTATGAGTGTGCGTACAATTATAGTTGTTCTTATAAAATAGGAGCACATCATATTTTAATTATTCAGTGGGGCTCCAATTATAATTTTTCTTGTAAAATAAGGGCATAAAAATTGTGAGGAGACCGCGTGCCCCCACTCAATATAATGTGGCTCCGCCACTTTGTAAAGCATAACTTATATATATATATATATATATATATATATATATATACTTTTCTTGTTAGGAAATATAATCTTGCTTGCAATGGCTAATAATACCCGGATCATAAAAAGTGCAGCAACTACAAATCTCTCTCGAGCTCTAAAACATTTGTTGGTATTGTCTTCATGTCTACAACATCATGGAAGCCAACATGTGAGCAGTTGTGCTTGAAGTTTGTCTACTTAATGAAGAATATAAAACTTATTGGTTGTGACATGTACTATTTCATTTCAACTCAACCGTTTCTGCTTAGTGTTGGCTTTGGCTGTTATTCCTGTTATCTCGACCGCTCTGCGAAAATATGGCCATTGGCGGCTTTCTTTCCGAACTTTCTCACAAGAATCAAGCTGCAGCTGCACTAGCCACTTCTGTTGCCGAGTTATATATGACTTCGCTATTTAAACTTTTCGCCCCTGAACTATATGATCTTTGTCCTGTTTGGACTGATGAACTTCAAAACGTTTGTTACAAATTGCACCTTGAACTATGCTCATTGTCCCCATGTTTGGCCCTTCAATCACAAATTGTTAACGACTGAACAGAATGAACGGTCTGGAACTCACATAATCACATTACTTATTAATGAAGGGATATTTTAGAAAACTCACTGATTTAAGATTAATTTAAACTAATTTAACTCTCACATACTTTGTTACCCAACGAAGCACAATTTTTTCTTCTTTTTTTTTTTTAAATAAAAAGAAATTATTTAGGTTTGATTTATCTAAAATATGCTTCATTAACTAAGCATGTGAGTATCACACGATTGATTCTGTTGATTTTTAACAATTTTCGTGACTAAAAGGCCAAACATGAGATATCGACTCAGGATGCAATTTGTAACATAATGTTCTTTTCACAACTCAAACTTTTTTGCTGCAGTATTTTTTGCTCAAAAATTTAAATTTAACTTCTTTACTACAGTAATTTCTCTAAAATTAACCCTAAAAGAATACATAAATAAATCGTGTTGCCTAAAGACTGAATATGATGAAAAATTTTTATGACATTTTAAATTCTTGAAAAACAAGGAGTGACGGCATTTCTTGTGGAACAAAGAACTATTCTAACTGCAACTTGAGCATTGTTTTGCGGGAATCTTTTGGTGCTATTCATACAGTGAAATCTTTTGCACATGAAGATTTTGAGATATCGCGCTATTATGAGAGAGTTGATCACACACTTAAGCTTGGTCTTCAACAAGCTGTGAGTTCCCTTGTTATACCTAGAAATCTCTCTGTGTATACAAGTATTAACCTCATCTGGGTGCTGCCACAGAAAGTTGTTGGACTCTTCTATGGTGGTCTCAGTGCAGCATCAAGGTTATCAATTACCATAGTAGTGATATATGGAGCTATTTGACTATCACAGGTTCGATGACAATTGGTTCTTTGACATCCTTCACTCTTTTTAGACTCACAGGTAGACTCTTAGATTCTAGTATAAAGTGTGTTAAGCACCACACATGATAAAAGGCAGGTCCACAATTGGAGCAGCCTACCTTCTGTTTGTCGCGTTGTTAAACACGATTGAGGCACTGAGCACTTTTCCATCCTACAGTGTTGGGAAATTATGATGATTTTCCTTTTAAAACGAATTATGATGAATTTCGGCGCTGGGCGTTTCTTTTAGACATATTTCTAAAATGGGGTCCAAAAGTTGTCATTCATATAAATACCCCCAAAATGAAGGTAAAATTTTATAGGTATGAGGTCTCCCTGGTTTTATTTTTCTTGTTATAACCAGTTACCACCTTCATTTGACTGTTGCCACTTGCAGTTGGATCTTCTGTTGCTTTCGGAGCTATATGCGGTGGCAATGAAAGCTTCGGGAGCAAGTAGGCGCGTTTTTCAGCTTTTGGATCGAATCTCGCCTATGCCCAAGTCAGGAAACATGTGTCCTCTTAAACATATTTGCCTGCAAATCATATTATTAATCTCTCCTTCCACAGTAGTTGCGATGGGATTGCTTGCTAAGTGAATACCATCATAATTGATGCACAAGTACGTTGTAGGAATCACTTCCCCATCTTGAGATTTCTAAATCTTTCTTGTTCGGGTTTGATTAACTTTTCAAGGAATATTTAAAATAACTTAGAAAAGAAAGATAGACGAGAATGTTTTGCATCTTAGGCTGATAAATAGAATGTATCTTATAATATAACGATGAAGATGGAGAAGTGGAGCTAGATGATGTGTGGTTTGCCTATCCATCCATCTCGCTCCAAACATATGGTGCTCAAGGTAAGGTATCATTTTGCTGAAAAAGCACCAAATATTTGATTTTTTGTTTGTTTGTTTGTTTGTTTTTTAAAGAGAACCAAATATTTGATTTATATGAGCATAATGATATCGATAACTTTCAAGCAAAAAATAAAAAATAAAAAAGATATTGATAACTTAGGGATATCAACTCAAATTTCAACTATTATGTATCAACTGATATGACATGTGAATTGTCATTTTTTTATTTGTGAGTGTTTAAAACATTGTCACGTCAATTAATAAAAAAATTATATCTACTAATAAAAAGATAACAACTCACGTACCATATCAATGCTACATAAAAATTGATATTTGAATTGGTGTCCGTAGCATTACTCTTACTTTGAATTTCAGGGAATAACTCTAAAATTGGAGCCTGGCTCAAAGGTTGCTCTTGTTGGTCCCAGTGGTGGTGGAAAAGTAATTTTCGTATGCTTAACTTTTCATTTTAATGCTATGCTTAGCTGCAAGTTTATTGCCTTGGAAATGTCAGAGATTTAATTTTCTGTATCAAAGCAAAGGCCTGATGTACTTTCATTCTGCTGCTTCCTGTAGACAACTTAGCAAACTTGATTCAAAGATTTTTAGGACCCAAAGAAGGGAAAGATTCTCCTAAATGGTATTCCTCTAGCTGAGGTATCACATGAACATCAACACAGAAAGGTAATCTTGATCTTAACTATATTTGCTTGCTGTTTTACTAGGAAATATATATATATATATATATACATATATATATATATTTGCTTGCTCACAAAATTGTCTCAAAGTAGGAGAGTGCATTATTAAATGTTCCTTTTTCTAAAAATTATGCCATATCAATTAACTGTCTGTGTTTAGTATTGGCTTAATTCAATGCTATAAATACGCCACTATTAATTTAAACTTTCTTTTATAATGTACTACAGATCAATATAGTGAGTCTTTTCAACAGTTCCATTGAGGAAAACATAGCCTATGGTTTTGGTGGCAAAATCAGCAGTATAGATGTGGAAAATGCAGCTGTGAGAATATGCATATAAACCTTTCTCCAAATATAATAAATCCTTAATCTTACACTTATGTTATTCAACAATGTTGCAAAATGCAGAAAATGACCAATGCACATGAGTTTATCTCGAAATTGCCAGAAAAATATCAAACTTTTGAGGGCGAAAGAGGGGTGAGGCTTTCAGGAGGTCAAAAACAAAGACTAGCAATTGCAAGAGCCCTCCTCATGAACCCAAGAATTCTTCTCCTGGATGAAGTCACTAGTGCTCTGGATGTTGAAAATGAGTGCCTAGTACATGAAAGCTTTACATATTATCCTCGCGCAGGCATCAACATACCGATTGTTTTTTTCTTTTCTTTTTTGGTCTCTACAAAGGGTTATCATTCACTACCTATTGCATAACATTACTAATTTTCGACATACTGAATCGTGATACGGGACCATCATGAAATTAAATGGAACCACACAATGAACGAATTATACTAATTGATGATCATGCTATGCAATGAACTAGTTATTCATCACACCTTTGCGATAATTATGTTGTATAGTATGGTATTAATATCAACTTATACTATTCATTCGACAAGAAAGCTAAATGTTGAATAAACTCGTTTTTGGTTTCAGATGAATTTTCAACTTTATTTTTGCTTGTGTAACAAAATGGCAAAGTCACATTTGGTGCATATTACAGGATGCAATGGTTTCTGTGATGAAGGGAAGGACTGTTCTTGTTATAGCTCATAGGTTATCAACCGTTAAAGGTGCAGACATTGTAACAGTTGTTTCAGATGGTCAAATAGTTGAAAGTGGCACTCATCAAGAGCTACTCTTCAAGGATGGTGTTTACAGTGCAGTTGTTTGTAGGCAATTACAAGCGACCAAACAGGAAATCTAATCTTTACTTGTATATTATGACTAATGTAAACAGTAGAGGAGAAGAGAAACAAAAAATATGCAATTTGAAAATAACTTTCACCAGATCTGATGATTACCCTAGTTTCATGAATGCCCTTTTTTGCATTTTGAAAATTTATGAACTTTTTCCCAACTTGATTTCCAGACAGTAGTGGCTTTTGTTTACATGACAATTGTCTGAAGAACTATAGTAAAGTACCCTACCAGTAGAGCAAAGTTCTAAATCATTATCTTTATCATGCTCCATTAAATAGTCGTACTTTTCTTAATCTAATAAATTTAATACGACTATGATGTGATCTGACTGTCCAGAATTGTGTCATACCAATATAGGATTTATTTTATAACCTACCAAAAAATTCTCTTTCACATGCTTCGTTTTCCATTTATGCAAACACCACGTAAAGAACTAAAGAGGCACCATTCCTCACGCATGATTTGTGTTCTTGACAGTTTAAAGAATAGGTCAGCAATAGAATTTAACAAAAAAATGTACTTACATATAAAAAAAAGGGGGGGTCAAGAAATTGTTATGGTAACAAGAACAAACATGTATGAATTATGCAAGCAAAACCAGTAACAATGAGTGACACAAGAATGCTACTGTCGTACTAGTCTGCATATTGGAACTTGATATTTACACTCCATATTTTCTGTTTCACCAAAGAGTATTCATTAACACCACATTTGCTTCTAGCCACACCAAGAAATAAAATAAAGGAGCTTGGAAAACAATGCAGTAGAAATATGTCGGATCAATTTGTATCTGAAATTCAGTAAATATTTTCTATCTTTTTTACTCTTCACAAGTCTACAAACCAAAAGCAAATCAAAATTTTAGAGGTCAACTCTTAACAAAACCATAATTTCACTTACTGCCTCATAAACTAAAAACTTTTCACAACTCAGTTTGGAACATGACAAGGATCAATCATGTTCCACAGTGTCTAAAATGTTCTGAGCATGACAGGTCAAATAAGAATGCTTACCAAAACATATGCTTGATAGATATGCTCCATATAGTAAGCAATGAACGCCAAGTTGAAAGAGATGGATTCTTACCTGCGTGGTGCATCCCTGCGCTTCACATAGAGGAATATTTTCATAAATGTCACTGTTGGAACCTATATTGTTACTACTACAATGACTGCAAATTTCCCACATACTGGAATATTTTGCAGTCACAAGCCAGCTGAAGTCCAAGGGATCCTTAAATACTCTTAAATGGTTGCAACCGTGAACAAGAAGATGCCAAACTTTTTGCATGTAATCAGTAACACAGTCGAGAAACTTGCTTGATACATGCGCAAAATCTTCATACTGGACTTGGCTATGAAATGAGCCAGTTTCGTATTTGTTACCCAACGAACACTTAAGGCAGTTATGCCTTATGATGGAAGATAGGCTTGACAAAGGGATAAGCTCCCTCCACATTGAGCTTCTAGCAAAAGTCGACAAGGACTCCCCTGCACTAACCCAGTAATTCGCAACAGATGCAATTAGAGAAGGTTCAAACTGAAAGAGATGGTTAGTTGCACCTGCAAGCAACAAGGAATACGCTACACTGGTCCTGCTCATGTCAAAAGCTACACAAAGATTTTCGTTCGCTTCAGAAAACAAAGCCAACATGTCATTTGAACAAGTTTTATATGCCGAAGCCAGTGTCGTGTACGCATTTAGAGATAAATGGTGCAGAGGATGCAGCCAATAAGTATATGTCGGCAGAGACGTTCCCTCATTACGTTCTAACTGCTCATCGGGAAGACCTCGAGTGAGGACATGATCAAGCTTCTCACAACAAGATTGAGCATCACCAATTGAAAGATAGTCAGATATAGCATCATCAATATACTGTGTTAACATTTGTGTTGCCTTGTCTCTGTAAAAGCCACTATCGGAACTTGACGAATTACCATTGACAACAGAAATTTCCTATCCAAGGAAATAGCTGAAAGTGTAAATACTTGTTTAGGACATTCTGTTTCAGACATTTATATGTTGGAGAAAGAGGTGCAACTTTTACAGTATACAACAGTAGTTTATATTTCAAAGTAACTTGCCAGAATAAAAATATATCTAACAGTATATAAAAGAGCCCAAGCTCTTAGGCAGCCCCTCTACTTTTCTTTTCTTTTCTTTTTTCTTTTCTTCTTTTTTTATCCTTATTCTTTAGTGATTTTTTTTACATTTCAATTTTTTTGTGTGCTTTTTAAAAATATATTACTCCTCACTTTACTCATAAAACTCCGCATGCGATCCTATTTTATTTATATATTGTTCTTCGCTTAAATTTTTTTTGTAAATTGTTATCTTTACACACATTTCTTTTAAAATAAATTAAAAATCCTTAAATGGTTATATAAATGAATTTCTCATAATTCGGTAAACAAAACTCTTCAGCTGTTTCCAACACGCCAATACGTGCGGAGCACGTTACAAAACTCGTAAAGAAAAAATATATATATATATAAAAAGGAGGATAAATTGCCAACAGGTACTAGTAAACTTAGAACAACATGTGTGTGTGTGTGTGTAAATACAAGCATAATAGCAACGTAACGGTTCTGTCCCCTCAAAAATGTTTTTAAGCTCGTGAATGAGACAAGACGCTCATAGGTAACATGAAAAGATTGCAGGGGTAAACTTCAAATTTAATCTCAGACTTGTAAGCTCCAAATTTTGTTGCAGGTCCATAAAAATAACATGCTTTTATGATTTCTTACCTCCAAAACACGGTCCATGTAAGTTGGGGGCACCGAACCACATCTACTACAACAGCAGATAAAACGATACTTTGACCACAAATCTGATTGCCTCACAGACTATAGAACAGGCAAATAACCATAAATTATTAAAGAACAGTTTAATACTTATTTATAAACATAAAAGAAAAATAAAATAAACTATAACACAAAATAACCAATAATCAGGTTGATATATGTCCACATTGTCAACAAGGGCTGGGGAGGAGAGAAAAATGAACTAGCAACACCCTTCTGTCATATCTGAGGCCAAAAGAACAAAAGGATACAGCTATGGCTCAGTTTCGGATTTTTTTTTTGAGGAAGAAACGAAAACTGGAGCTTAGTTTGGGATTGTTTTGCTTTAAAAAGAACATCTAATTTTGCTAATAGCAAAAAGAGGGGTAGAAATAGAAAGAAAATGTCAAAAAATTCTAGGCTCTTATAAATAGCTTTATTTAAAAGGCCATTAGTGTCGTACACTTTTATCAACACTTTTATCAAACAAATTACTTGCATCATAATATGTGCAAACTGCAAAGCACTTTTGGGACTTTCAAAGGCAATACCAAATATATGGTTCTCAAATTTTCAGCACCAAGTGAATCCCAAATATAGTGACAGAAGATTAGAATCAAGATAGAGAAGTAGAAGCACTAGAGATAGCGAAATAGAATCAACAAGAGAAATAGAGGATTGTAGGAACGAATGAATAAATAAATAAATAAAACAACTTATGTGGGGTGGAGTAAAGTCAATAATCTCAATATTTATTCACAAACCATATTTATAGATAAACTAAATAACAAAATAGGAAACTAAACCAAAATAAGATAAACAAACTCGGTGATGGGAATCTAACCATATTTCTAAATCTACATCACCCAATAACCAAAATGCTTCATAATAGATAACAAAATAATTTCCCGCTAGGGAATTTTCCAGAATTTGTTTAGCAGGCTGGGAAGCCAAACTGAGATCTGAAGCAATTTGCTTCCTCTCTTGAATGTTTAATTAGCTTTCAATTGTACACGAAATTGCAATGCTATAAAAGTTCAAGGATGTCACAAAACAAGGCAATTATAAAAAACTGTTTGACCAACAAAAAATTTAATTTATGAGATTCAAAAAGTACCTTAGGCTGCAATAGGTCAGTGTAAGCCACAGTTACTTCTTCCCCTTTCTGTATCCTCTTGATGCTCCTAACTATGATTCTTGGTCCATAAGAACACCCACACTCTTCATTTTCATATATGTAAGAACACCAAAATAAAAAAATAAAAAAAAGGTTCAATAACTGTAGTCCCAATCAAATTTCTAACATAAAGATTCAAACTTAAGTTTCGGGTAATTGGGCCGGTTAATCTCTGAACTTTGAGCGGTCACATTTTGAACCCTTAACTTTAATTTTGACATATTCATCTCTAACTTTCGTTTTTTTTTTTTTTTTTCCTTTACACTAAAATTGAGGAACGATTTCACAAAAATAATAATGTGTCTAGTGATAACTTACAATTTTATAGAAAAAGTTATGTTATATGTAAAATTTTCTCTATGTTACTATTTAATATCTTGAAAATTACAACATTTTGCACTTATTGCAACTATTTATATAAAATTTACAGGATGTGATTATCTACGTAAAATTTAAATAGCACGTCAATTTTAGTGTCGGACACCAAATTTGCCAAAAATCGAAAGTACAAGAGCTAATATACTATCAGCCAATCTTATTAAAAATTTAGGGACCAACTCAAAGTTAAGAAATTAACAGCATTAATAACCCTTTAATTTTTTCCGGTAATGATAAGTTGATAAAGAAAAACGACACCTTTTGTTGATAAGACACTAATAATATTGCTACAAACACCACTCTCTGTCTGCAAAGAGAAACAGGGTCTCAAAAACGACATCAAGGAAAAGCAATTAAGTAGCTAGTCAAAACGACATAAAGAGGCTTACTTGAGTTTCTTTATTACAACAGGGGACGATTCTCATGGCCGCCGTCTCATGGTCTGGTAAAAACGACGTCGTTTGGAGGTCCGAATGCAAAGAAATCCGGTAACAGGCGTTGGGAGAACAGCTATGGTTGATCCACGAAAACCCTCCGCCGCCGTACACCGCCACCCCGAGGGTGCGCCCGCTCTTAACCTGCACCTCCACGCCATTCGTTAGCACAGCGCACAGTGCCGCCGCCGCCATAGCCTCTTCCTCCCCCTCCGATTCCTCGCCGCTGCAGTCGCGGTCTCTCATCCTTCTCGCCGCCGCCATAGCTCTAGCTCCGTCGCGAATTCTGGCGGCGACCTCCTCCTCGTCGTCATTCGCTAATTTGTGGAGATTAGTGGACAGGCCGGCGATGCGGCTTACGGAGGAGGAACGACGCGTGGCTGGATTGGATTCGAGGAGGCGGAGGGCGGCCCGGAGGTCTGACGAGTCGGCGGCAGCGGCGGAGGGGAGGAGGCAGAGGAGGTGGTGCTCGGCGGAGGAGAAGTGGAGGGGGGAATCGGAGAAGGAGCATTGGGAGGAGCAGTAGAGGATTTTGGGGTTGGAATTGGAGGGAGGGAAACGAGGGGGGAAAATGGGAGGCAAAGGGGAGGAGGGGAGAGGAGAAAAGCAGGAGGAGCAGTGGGAGAGGAGGAGGGAATGGTGGAGGGAAAAGGAAAGAGGAGGGAGTGGTCGGGTTAAGTCTTCTCCCATTTCTATTTCTTCCCTCCCTCTCATCATCATTTCCATCTCCCCCATTTTCTCTCTCCTTCTCTCCTCCCTCTCTCTCTGTCCCTCCCTGCTCTGCTTTGCTTTGCCTGCGTCTCATTCTAGTGGCCTATTAAGAAATTAGGTTTCGTTTGGTTGGAGGATTCTATGTGATTTGAATTATTTTTAATTTATGTATATTTTTTTATGAGAAAAAATACTGTAGCGAATCACGAATCATGATTCGAATCAGGGAATGAATCCCTCTACCAAACGCCCCCTAAAAGCATTAAAAAATTATTAAGAAATTAAGTATTAAGAAATTAGTATTAAGAAATTAAGTGTATGTTTGATTTATAGATTTAAAATTATTTTTAATTTATGTATATTTTTTATAAAAAAAAATATTATAATGAATTATAAATTATGATCTGAATTATAACACGAATTTCTTAATTAAACGTACAATTTTTGTATACGCAGTTTTTCACATCAGCTTTCATTTTTTTTTTTTCCTTTTTAGTTATCAATCACATCCCATTTTTACTAATTTTCCGAGGGAAAAAAAATAAAAAGGTTTCAAAGGGGCATAAAAAAACCTCCACCTGTACAATTCTCAACTTTAAATATTAGATTAATTTTTTAATAATTATATATATAATAAAAATAATTTTATATGACGTATTATAAATTTTAATATAAATATTTACAAATTTAATCATTAAAAATTTAACCATTGGGATTTCACCGTAATTTTTTTAAAGATTCCATCGTAGTGATTGCCAAAGGACATTTACATGTCTAATAATCAGCTTCAAGGTTTATTGTTAGAAGTCCTGATAACAACAATATGTACCTTATTGCTTGTCTCAGGACAAAAATTTCTCCGATATTTTTGAAATTTCCGCCGAAATTTCCGTAAATCTAAGGTCCCAAAATATTTTTAGGTGCTAAAGAATTTCTCCGATATTTACTGAAATTTATCAAAAATCTTGAGAGAAACTATTGTTTTTGTACAAACTTACTAATTTATATATCTTATGTTAAGATATCTAAAAGAAATATTAAGTGTCAAAACAAATATTCCTAGTTTCTGCAATATTTTCTCAATAATTCCACCGATATTAATATTTTTTCTAAAAATTTTTTAAATTTAAAATACCTATATTTTCACTAATATTGATATTTTCATGATGCACGTATATTTCCTTACTTTGCCATAATGTTGCACTCCACTATTACAGTTCTTAAATAATAAAACGGTGTGTCACGTATGTCACAGCAGAGTAAAGAGACTGACAATAAAAGTGATAAGAGTACATATTGGTGTTAGAGTTACCGTTTTGCAAAAGAATAAGCACATGAGATTGCATAATATATGATCAAGCACTCGGATATGTTTTACTAGCGAATAGCATTGGGATATGTTTTATTTTGGACAGATATTGTTGAGGTCTAGAGGAGGCCACCGGTTTCAACGTTGCAACAATGCCAAGGTTGTCAGAAACTAAAATGTTCTAAAAAGCAAAGACAACAAAAAGCAGGATTTCCATCAAAATAATGGGACAAGAAATTGAAGTATAATCATGAAATTCCTTCAAAATGCATAGCTGATGAAGCAAAAGACCTATAATCATCAAAAGTAATAATATACACAAAGAAAAGAGACAATGCCCTATTATTCACCCTACAGATGAGAAGAGAAACTAACAACTGAACCTCTTTTTTTTTCCTACTTAGAATTGAACAAATATTAATTATTTATGTACTATGGAACATGTATTTAAAAAAAAAAAAAAAAAAGTGTATAATTCGTCTCTAAATCTACCAAAAAAGACCCAAAACTATGTAGCTCTGCTCTGCATCTTGGAGAAAGAGAATCCCCATCAAGAAACTGGAGGGGGACTTGAAAGCATAATAATGGTCTTGAAACCTTCATCTTTTGATACTCTCTTTCTGGCCAAGCCCAACCAAACAACCTGTCTTTAGTCTCTGTAAAATTATGTACAAAGAGATAAATAAAGAATTCTCTCTTTGGAAACAATGTACAGCACTAAAGGGATAAATAAGTACTAAGGATTTTTTTTTCCCACCAAAAACTGTGCAGCATCAAATTTCTTCAGGCTTAAACTCGAAGCGTTTCGATCTTGCTTCGATTCTGGCAGTGTACCCTACTGTTGTGGGCCTTATTGATCTCTGCCTCACCATTTTGCAGAACTCGGGGTCATATGAATTGCCGTCCTTTCGCATCCACTGGATCATCTGGTGGAACATTGGGAAGAACCGTGTTTGGATAGAGGCGTAAGTGAAGTATGGCGTGAGGGAAGCGATCACGACAAAGAGGGTGAGGATCCAGTAGTATGGAGAAGGTGCACAGGCTTCAATGAAGACTTTGTAGGCAGTGGTTGAAAGGTCAGGACTCATGGCTCCATATACCAATTGGAATATGTACCAGAGTACGATACTACCCCAGATGAAGAGATGTTGTATGTATGTGAAGTAGCTGATGGACAGTGCCATCTGGCAGTTCACGACCCACACCACGCATGTGTACATGGTGGCACCGAGGACCTGCAGACCAGCCAGTTGCCCGCCTTTTCGGAACGGCTGACTCTCTATTGCCCGGATGCAGAAGAAGAAAATCAGGACAGCATTTAGTAGACCATTGAAGGCCCATCCCAGGATCCTAACCCAGCTGAATAGCACATTTTGTACACCTTCTTGGTATAGATATGGGAACTGTTTCATGGAAATAAGAGAGAGAAGATGTCATTAGAGGTTTACTAGACATGGGAACTGTTTCATGGAAATAAGAGAAAGAAGATGCCATTAGAGGTTTACTAGATAAAAGAACCATCAAACTGTAATTATTTTATTGTTTTTCCTAATGAAGAAACAGAAATTTGGTGTAAAAGATTTGAAACTGAAATTATTTATTTTCCTTAATAGGAAAAAAAAAATCGATACCTTGAGGCAGAACTTGGCTGAGACATCCTGGTCAAGCACTCCTAAAGCAATCACAGGAAGAGAAGTGAAGAAGACATTGTATAGCGATAAATACCAGTCGTTGTATACAGATTGGCCAGTGAATGATGTGTATATCTCATAGAAGAAGATAGTGAAGCCAAAAACTATGTTCTTGTAAAAGAAATAGCATATCTGCAACCAAAAAAAAAAAAAAAAAAAAGGCTTAAGTCAACCTTTCCAGTTCATAACTCAACCTAGTATTAGATCAGTAAGGGAAAAAAAATGGATTTCAAAAGGTAAATCTTACCATTGATGATATCCTTCTGTAACACCAATGGCCGTGTACAAGCAGCAAGCGTTCCAAGAAACGGAATTGCGCAATTGCAATGTCACTCGACATGACGGCCTGAAATGTTGAGAAGTGATTGTTAAAATTAGAATTTGTTAAGTGGAATAATTTCCATCAGGGGTTTACCAACTAAAAAGAGAACCTATGAGCAATGCTTTTATAGTTTTTAGCATTTACCTGCATTCCTTCAACACCGCTTATACCGATTCCAATATCGGCTTCCTGAAGCATTCCAACATCATTTGCTCCATCACCAATTGCAAGAGTAGTGTTACCAGTTCTAAGTTTGACCAATCTTGTAACCTGAATTATGTTAAGAAACACAAAAACTCAGAATTGACTCCTTTTCTAAATCAGCAGAATTAACCTCTTACATGCTTTTGATGAACATACAAACAAACCAAATTCATCAAGACAGATATACAATTTAACCTGAAACATCAAAAGTGCAAAATGGAAGGTGAACATGAAATTTACAAGTGCTTTCTGTTTGGGAGACGAACGGCAGCATATAACGGATGCACACCCAATGGCAAGCTCCAGAAAGTGGTCCTTTACATCGTCCTCTAAAGCATAAGTGAGAGACTTTCCGTCGATGATTAAAGCCAACGCATCGGAGTTCTCAGTTGATGCAAGAAGCAACTCCTTTGCTGTGGTTATTTGGTGGAGGACACTTGCTTTGAGTGCCTAAAGAATCAGAAAGATATATCATCATCTTATGCTACAAAATAAGAGGAAAAAAAAAAGAACGAATGAAGAGGAAATAAGGGGCTTTACCGTAGCAACCGCAGACTTATCCTCTCCATTCTCTAATGCTTTAACTTCAGGAGTCTCAGAGCTAATTATTATTTGCTTCATTTCTTGTCTAAGCAAACTGCAGGAAAACCTGAAATAGAAAAACAAATATGGTGAGAAATTCTTGTGTATTAAAACTTCATTTATTCATACTACTATTCACTGATTAATCATATTCATACCCAATATTGATTGCTGTCTCCATCTTATCTCCAGTCAACACCCATAGTTTAATTCCAGCCTGAGCAAGTTTGTCTATGCATTCTGGAACCTATTGATCACCAAATAAAGAATTTTCAGTCCATTCTATATATAACAGAAAAAAAAAATTAATTACTTATGATTTTTATAGCTGAGCTATCAAGTTGTCATAACAAAAATATAATACACACCCCGTTTTGTAGTTTGTCTTCAACTGCAGTAGCACCAAGAAGGATCAGTTCCTTTTCGATTTTTTCGGCTTCGTCCTCAATGATTTCCTCCCTATCTGCATTCACCATGTTCTTTGCCTCAGTGAATGCCTTGTTAAATTCATCGTACTCTTCTTCATCGAGTTCGCGGTATGCCACAACCAATGTCCTTAAACCAGCATCAGCATACTCATTAACATGCTTTTTAGTCTGCTCTTCAAACTCCCTTCCATCCTTTGCAAGTCTTTCAAACATGACACTGCTTATGGAAAACAAATCAAATTAGTATAAGAATTACTAAATCACATAAGCATAGAAACTAACTAATTAACCAACTCTTTTCGAAGATTACTAACCTGTCAGCTCCTTTACTAATTAAAAGCAGCTTCCCCTCCCCGTTTCTTACAATAACCGACATCCGCTTTCTTGAGCTACTAAACTCCAGTATGTTCAAAAGCTTGTAGACTCTGCAACATGGAAAACATGGGCTTTAATTATATAAACCATAGCAGCTAAGACTGAATGAACAGAACTAAACAACATCGAAAATATGTAGCTGTAAAAAGCTTACCTTTCAACTTTCATGTTAGTGACAGGATCCAACTCGTAGACTGAGATGCTCGTGTGAGACCTTTCATGAAACATAAACCCAAGTTCTCTTGCTGCAATAACAAAAGCTGCCTCATCAGGTGATTCGGCTTCATAAGTTGTTGTTCCCGTTTCTTCATCAACTTCAGGCAATGCCGTATGGCATACAGCCAACGCCCTTAAAAACTTCTGGATTACATCTGCACGCGGCTCTTTAACCCATTGACCGTCCATGATCCTCTCATCCACAAAGTTAAATCCTTTAATGGATGGCTTTGCTTCTGTGGCATCTTCAACATGGTTCTCTTCAACAGCCATGTTTTGCAGTAAAGGTGACCCGTTTCTCTTAGCCATGGCTCTTTCAACTTCTGTTATTCCGCGTCCATAAGCAGTCCCGGCAATGGAACACTTGATGAACTCCATGGAGTTGCAAGTTAATGTTCCTGTCTTGTCAGAAAGTATAGTGTCAACTTGGCCAAGCTCTTCATTCAAATTAGATGTCCGAGCTCGTGCTGGCGTGTCAGTTTCCTCATAGTACATATTCAGATCCTGGTTGATGAAACTGCCCTGAAGAACTTTGACAATTTCTATTGACACATACAAGGAAATGGGGATCAAATAACTGTACAGCATAAGGGCTGTCAAGAACTGCAAAACTGATGCAAGTGGTGCATTCTCGGGATCATAATAGACTTCGGTATCATCTGGTTTAAGATACCACCTTTTCATTTTCCCATTGTCAATGTCGTCGTCAGTTGCACCTCCAAAGCAAATTGCCACAATAAAAGCCAACAAAAACAAGACTCCAAACAATAAGTAGACAATCTTGTCCATCCTTCTCTCAATTTTGCTTCTCTTAGAAGGTGGAGGGGTTGAGTTTTGCATAACCTTCGTGTCATAACCAGTAAAGATTACTACCCCGTAAACAAAATCCGTGTTCCTTAGCTTCGAGTCCCTAAGCAAAAGCTGCTGAGGTGAAAGAGGGTGTTGTTGTTCTTCAAGCTCCAAAGTACCAACAAAAGTGTACAAATTTGCATTTGGGTCCTCACATCTGATTGCTGCCTTGAAGTTTTGGAAGCTTGAGTCTTCATGCAAATTTGAGGTTGCCTCCACTGCTTGCTTTAGTTTCAAATTAGTTTCTCCATCAAGGTTGGTGGTCTCAACATAGCAAATTGCTTCCTCAAAGCTTGATGAAAGTAGGATGAGATCAGCAGGGAAAAATTGATCCTTTTCCACTTTTACTATATCTCCAACTTTCAAATCCCTCCACTTAGTATTATCGAAAACGCCGTCGCCATAATGCACTTTCACCTTTCGGTTATTTACCTCAATATCCTGATAACAATTTTACAGGCAGAATTAAGGATAAAAAATTAAAAAGATCAAGAATGCAATAAAGGGTATAGGAAAGCAATAATAGATCTTCAAACTTGTATGAAATCAAATCTTGGGAAAGTTTCTAGTTATACTCGTACAAGTTAAAAGTTTCATTCTAACTTCTTCAATAAAAATTTGAGCTAAGATGAATAAATTGTTTGAGACTTTTCTTCACTACATCATTTACATAAACTAGGACCATATATTGGCAAAATTATAAGAGTATACTTAATAACTTCCAAATGTCATTAAAAGTACTACTAAAACAATTTTAGCCACGATGAACAAATGGTTTAAGAATTTTGTCAATACAACAAACATAGACTGGACAAAAATTTGCATATTTAATCTGGTATAAGTAACAAAAAAGAATTGCTTTATACCTGCTGTTTGCGCCGAAAATCTTCGAGAAGCTCTTTCCCCATTGAAACTCCAATCACAACCGCAAGAGGGAGAACACTACTCACAGATGAGTAAGGAGAAAGTGCTGTGAAGGACAATATTGCACACATGAGGAAATACAAGTTTGCCACTCTCCTGAATTGCTCAAACAATGACTTGGGCAAGAATGTTAGGATGGTATATTTGGTAGTTCTGACATAATTCCCTCCATAATTGCGAATTGTGGCGTCAAAGCCATCAGGGTCATTGCAATGGACAACCCTTGAGAACCCAGGCCCTCCAATCAATGAATGTTCTCCTCTGAATGATGCTTTCCCACATGAGAAGGCATGGATTCTGCCAAAATGTTGCCTCTTCTTTCTTCTTGGTCCAACCATTTTTAATTTTTTTTTTTCTTTTCAGAAGCTAAACTCAAGAAGATCTTAACAACCCAAGTTGTTCAAACACCTACAGATTTGTTTGGCTCTAGAGAGAAAATTTTGATCAAATCCCAGAAAGCTTTTAAGCCCAGAAACACAGGAGAAGAAGGTTTAATTCTGGGAAATATTCGCAAGAGCAAAGAAGATGAAGAAACTAAAACAAATAAACAAATCTGGAAGAAGAATAATAAGAAGAAGAAGAAGAAGAAGAAGAAGAAAAGAATGAATGAATGAAACTTTCAGCCAAAACTTATGACTCTTTCTATATAATGAAGAACTAAGACCAAAACAAAGATTACTGCTTTAAAAATTTAACAAAGCCTCACATGAAAAAATAGGAAGTACCCAAGAAAAGTCATGTTCTGGGAAGGAAGCATATAGGAAGAAACGTGGTGAACAATTCTTCTTTTCTCTCTCTCTATAATATATCTATTTCTAGAGAGAGAAGACTAGCATCACAGCTTTGACTTGTAGCTAACAAATGAATAGTGGATTTGGGATATCCCCATCTAAAACCCCATGAGTGTATATGAAACTCAACTACTTTATGAATTATCAAACAGTTAAATTTATCATGAAAAAGACAAAAAAAAAAAAAAAAAAAAGGAAACTAACCCATTAATATGGAAATTCAGACAAAATAGAAAGTTCAATGATTTTTTGTCTTCTTTTTTTTTTTTTTTTCTTTTTTCCTTTGTCAACTGCCAGATATATATTATTGGATTACGAATAATTGTCATTGTCAACTTCTAAAATATGTACAATATGTGGAAGGGTAGTGACCAGGTGTTCTAGAAAGTCATCCACCAAAGATTCAAAAGTGTTCTAGAAAGTCAAAAATTAGCAGCCATTAGGGAACAAGAAGAAAATGAAAAAGAAAAAAAAAATGCCAAAAGCATAATTATATACAACTAGGGGTTTCACATTATTTGCATTGTTTGCTCTGAAAATTTCAAAGTAAGAAAGCTGGAGCCAAAAAACGTATCATCCTATTATTAAAGGTTTTAATGTGGGTCAAATTATTCTGGATGGAAGAAACAGCGTGGGGCATGTTGAATGGAGCTTGTGAAAAATAATAATATAATATATGGTCTTGACAAAATAATAATAATATAATATACGGAGTATTGCTGTCAGAACGAAAAGTTTTTTTTCCCCCCCTTAAATTCTCGCTTAAAAAGAGTTTTTTTTTTCAAATAATGGGTCTTTTGGATATTATTTTAAATGAAAATTATATAATTTCCTTAAACCTTGAAATAAACTATTTACCCTTATATTTTTTCAGTAATTACAAAAGGCAAAAAAAAAAAGAGCTATGTTTTCATATTTATGATTCTTCTTTAAAAATAATTTTATATGTGCTAATATTCGAGCAACACCAAATTGATTCACGCTCAATAACACTGACAATTTTAATTTACGTAATTTTACACCCCATAGGAAAAATGTCACTTGAATTAGATTCGGTCAAATACGATATCACTGTAATAATAACGTAAATCAGGATATGTAAGTATTTTATATATATATATATACATTTTTTTTTTTTTTGAGAATTGGTGATGTTCCCTTGAAAATTTTTTTTTTCTTTATTCCCAAGTGAGTAAAAATTTGTACGTTCTAACCAAAATTACCCAACTGATGTAAATAAAACGGACTACATATGTTGTTGAATTTTCTCAAAAGGGGCTCAAAATTCTGCCACTTGTGCAAATAATTTTTTTTTTTTTTTGCCCTTTTTGCTTCTGGATTGGAGTTGCATAAATTATGTGAAGATCTTTTATAGTATATAGTACTATAGAGTTGCATAAATTTAGGTATTTTATAGTATATAGTATTATATGTCTGGAAACATGATGGAGGAGGCTGAGGCTGCGTGATGGGGGGGTCAAACAAGACATCTCACATGTTTTTATTCTTTTATTTGTGATTTTATTAATATACTATTAAGATGTAGTAGTATTATTAGTTACATTCAAAACCTAACTCTATCTTTCTGTGTGGATATAAATTCTTGCACATTTATGACCAAATATTTTCATCTCTTTCTCTATTTTTTTTTAGATTCCAATCTAACTCTGGCCCAGATAAATTAAATAATCCTTACTACTTTCCCCCATTTTTCTTCTTCTTCTTTTTTTTTTTATGGGGCCCTTTTTCTTCTTAATCATGTTTCACAAGTTAATTAAATTCAAAACAAAAATTGCAAACGACAAACAATAAGACTATTGTTATTAAATTTTTTTTTGGGATGATATTTAGATTTTTAATTAGTTGGATTACATCTTTGTCTTTTCGAAGGCTCCGGATAGATAAGGTGCATTATTTTCTTAATGCAGCCAAGATCATATGTTGAAATTCTTATTTCTCAACTATTTTTGTTCTTATTTTTAATTTTTCAAGGATTTAATTCACTTTGTTTGGAGTTTATGAAAAATATATATATTTTTACAAAAAATTCTACGGTACAACATGAAAAAAAAAGACAAATTTTAACCATCAATTCACGTTGTAAATATAATAATAATTTAATGGATCTTAAAAAAATGGAACCTTCTCTGGTACGTCAACATACTGATAGGTCAGATTTTATATCCATCGGATCTGCATAAAATCATGTAAAAGTAAAAAAGTATGCAAATCTAATGATTAGAAAAATCTGATCTACCAGTATGCAAGGCATACCAGAGAATCTCCTTAATAAAAATACAGCGGCTTAAAGTTTACTATTAATATATTTTTTCACACCAAAGTTATTATATTTTTAGTTATAATTATATCATATGTATTCTTATATTAGAAAAAGTATCTGGTGGGATTATAAAAAAATTTTAGAATGCTGAAGTTGATGAATATGACAAGGGGAAAATTTTGTAAAATAAAATAAGTGAAATTTAACCCCATTTTATTTTATTTTATTTTATTTTATTTTGCCCTATGAAGAGAAGTCTTTTTCCAGTCAAGATCGTCAGCTGCAATATATATTATTATTAAAAAGGGTAATTTGGCTATTAACGGTAGTTTGGTTATTTTCAACTAATAGACATTACAAAATTCAAGGACATAAAGAAAATTAAACCATATGAGTAAATAAAGATGTAAGATGGCTTTTACTTGTTTGTCCACTATTTTTTCAACATCTTTAGGCCGTAACCATCATTTTGATTTTCTAAATCAGATAAGACCATTGTTATTAACAATAAGATATTTCTAGTTTTCAAGGTAAGACATAGGTTCAATTTTTCAGTCGTCATCTATTTGATTTGCATTTTTTTTATTAGATTAAGTGGTCGAAATATACATTATCAGATCCTACTATAAAATTATCCTTATTAATATTTAAAATAAAGTGTTTCATTCAAAGTTACAAAAAACAAATTAATAAATAAATACGTAAATTACAGCAAATTGTACAACCTTTATGACTCTGAAACAACCTTATTTTCAATTCCAATCCGTGTGCTATAGTATTTATAGTTTCCAATTTTCATGTTGGAAAAACGACTCAGTCAGATACGAATCGATTTCGTAAGAATGTGTAAAATGTATATACGTTGCTGAGAAAACACTTCAACAGACCGAATTAGATTATTGAATTTAATTTGAAGTACCTTATTGACCGGGCTATCCTCACGCGGTTCAATCATGCAATTTTTTGTTTTCGTGGAAGAATCAATCGTGCAATTATAATATCTATAATGAACATTCCATTAATTCATTAGCTTATATATATAGTTTTAATAATTGCTCAAAAAATCAGACGATTGACGTTGACGGTAAAAATTTATCAACAATAAAATAGCGTTTTCTAATGTAATTGAATGCGGTGTAAATGCGATTAAACGAGAATAAAAACGAATAAAAAATAAGAAAATGGTAAGAACACTAAGGATTTACAGTGATTCACTCTCAAACTTGAGAGCTACGTCTACTTTCAGAAAGAAATGAAGTTTTCACTATTTCTCAAAATGGATACAACAAGAATATATGTGAGAGAGTTTTCAGACCCCTTAAACCCCTACTTATATCTTCAAGGGTTGATTTAACTGTTTTTAACAAAAATTAGAATATAAAAGGGTTAAGTGGAAACAATTTAAAATTCAAGAGGAAAAGCGAGTTTTTAACTTATCAAAAAAGAAAATGTGAGTTTTTAAAGTTCAAGAAACAAACTAAAAATGACCCTAAAACTCAAGTAGCACCGGTGATAATAACCTTAACATTAAAGATGCACGTTTCAAGTCATTGATACACCATCTTTTTCCAAGCAAATTATTAACATATGTCGTACTTGATCACAAAGCGTTAAAGGAAAAGCAAAATTAAATAAAATTAACTCTTGCTTAGGTACCATTCATGTCGATAATTAAGAGATCATCCCTATAAGTTACTGCTACAGAGTCCCAATGTTTCTTCAGTACTATCTTTTTGGATTTGTCCAAGGTGGAAACATGAAAGAAATGTCCGAAGGGTAGAAGTGTAAGAAATGAATGGCACTAGACCAGCACCTTAATGAAATAAAAGAGATGCCCTGCAGAGCCATCAACTTGAACTGCAACAATTATTTTGCTTCCATTGCATCAGCATCTTCTGTTGTAACTGCCCAATCTAACAATATCTTCCACTAGGATTTTTCCATCTGTTGGGACACGTTTAGTGTTAACGCTCGAACAATGTCAAAGATTAAAACTAGAAGCAAAGATCACTATGAGATATTTTTATTGCACAAAGCAACTTATAAAGCAAGTAAAAATTACTTCCTCATCCAGTAACAAAGAACTTCAAGCAGGATCATTCACCAAATTATTACAACAAATCAATCGAATTGTGAAGGCGTCCTTTAAACCATTATTGGTCTTTTTTTTTCTTTTTTTTTTTGTCAACTATATGGCATCAAACATGCTCTCAAAATTGACAAGGGAATGCAATGCTATAATTGATGTGCCAATTGTAAATTTAACATTTGAGTGCAAAAAACACTATAATGCAATGCTATTTATTGTGCCAAATTTCTTATATGCTATAGTTTGTGACAAATTTTCCACCAAGCATAGCATATGAGAAATTCGGCATTTGATTTTTATTGGTTGAAATGTCTACTTTTTCTTGTAATCAATGCAATTTTTGCATTTTCTAATTATTTTAAATATAAAAGTTTACTTTTACAACTTTCAAAGTTTAATAATTATAGAAAAAAAATAGATTTAACATCTCAAATAGCATTATGAATTAGAGCAAAAATGAAAATAACATACCATATCACACTTTTTAATGGTAAATATACAATTGACATTAGCATTTGCATTGAAGATGATCTAATAGGAGGGTGGTATCTCAAACAGGTCCGTCGATTGATGTACTTCCAAACTATATATAACGTATCGATATGCTTTTTGTTTATAATAGAAAATTGGGTATGGTGTTCAGCGGAAAGAACGTACTGACCTCTATCCTTGGAAAGGCTGCTAATAAGTTCCTGTAGGCCCTCTTTCCCCAATGTATCGTTAAGATACATGGCGGCAGACTCAACCTCCTCAGGAGTCACCTTCCCATCATAGTCCCTAGAAATAATAATTCAACTTTATTCTCATCAGTTATTCCCATCTTTAGAAAACGATAACAGAAGTAAGCAGTTGTCTTATAATCACCATAAAATTATTGCCATGTCATGACTAGAGTTTGAAGCATAAAAGGATATTATATGAGAACTTCCAATGCAAAATGGTGAATTATGCCAAAAGATAATCTAGTTTCAAAAAAAAAAAAAAAAAAAAAAGGAAGATATCATATCTCAATTGAGAATCTCGTCAACCATGTAAAGCAGAAAATTGAAAATTGAAACAAAAAAAATCTCATCACTTTATCTAATCCTAATATCCAAATTATAAAACTCGAATTTATTAAGAAACAAAAACTGAAGGGTCGTTCATTTTGTGGGAAAAAAAAAAGAAAAAGATATCGTATCTCAATCGAGAATCTCGTCATCCCTGTAAAGAAGAAAATTGAAAATTGAAACAAAAGGAAATCGTATCACTTTATCTAATCCTAATATCAAAATTATAAAACTCTAATTTATTAAAAAACAAAAATTAAAGGGGCGTTCATTTCGTGGGTTCATACAGTTTGAACCCATGAGCCTAGTTCAAATTGGTATTTGGATGAGCATTCTTGAGGTTTCATTTTATTTTTATGTTAATTTATCTTAGCTTATTCTATTTTTATTTTATTTTTCTGATTTTTAATTTTTCCCTCTTATTTATTTGTCCTCATTTGTGTAGGTAAAATAGGCAAAAAGGGCAAAATGCTGATTGCTCCTTTGTTGTGACAGTACATTTTCATGGGTTGTTCTACAGGTTTCTTTGGCTCCGAAGACTCAATTTAACCACATTAACATATTCCATGCGTGATTGCTATAAACTCAACTTTAGCACTGCTTCGAGCTATAACGCTCTGTTTTTGGCTTCTCCAAGTAACCAGATTACCCTAACCAAGTGTGTAGTATCATGAGGTGGACCTTAAATCTATAGATCTGGCCCAACCAGCATCAATATAAACTTTAATGCTCTATTGTTCATTCTTCCCTTTTTTTTTCTAAAAAAAAAGGCAAACCCATCAGTCATTCTTCTTAAAGAAGAAACCATTACAAGGTGTATTCTTTACGTATTGTAGAATCTTATGGACGACTTCATATGGAGCATGCATAAACTGACTCACCACGCTAACTGCAAAAGAAATATTTGGTCAAGTGTGTGATAGATAGACTAACTCGCCTTCTAGTCTCAAGTATCTATCAGTATTCACAGCTATTCCTCTCCCTTTTCCCCAAGCTTCACATTGGGATCCATAAGAGTATCTGAGGGCCTATAGCCACTCATTCCTATCTCTGTCAAAAAGATCTAGTACGTATTTTCACTGAGAGATAAACAGTTCCTTTCTTGGACCATGCTACATCCATTCCAAGAAAATTTATTTTATTTAAGATCTTTGATGCCAAACTCAGTAGCTAGACATTCCTTAAAACTTTCCATCTCGGTCAAGTCATTCCCTGCGAGAATGATGTCATGCATTTAGACTATAAAAACTACAACTTTCTTTCAGTTGAAAACTTCAGGAACATGGTGTTGTCTGTTTGTCCTTGAAGGTAGCCTTGTCGTTTAACAGATTGAGTAAACTTCTCGAACCAGATTCTAGGAGATTGCTTCAGTCCATATAAGGACTTCTAGCTTCCATTCACAAACGTCTAAAAGCCTCACGTACATTGGATGCTTAGTACACGATCTCACACCCTTTCGACAAGAAATAGGAATATCAAGATTACTAAATGACTCAAACTGTGACGTGGAACAAGGAGGATCCGTTCCGAGTCTTAAATGACTCAGACTGAATTCTAATCTATCCTCGGATCGGATTCATGACATTGCTACAAAGTGGAGTCACCCTTTTCTAGAAATTTGGTCTCCTTGAGTAGACATGAAGTTCCTTGAGGCTTTGTTCCGGAATTGTTTCCAACATCTATTTCCTTGTGAATCATTTGATGGCATTAAGGTGCGCTGTCCTAAGGTCTCGACATCCAAAGTACTTATTTCCAAGGCTGGCCATGGAGGCGCAGTGGAAAATTCTTGTGCAGCAATACAGGGTTTCTCACTACTAGAGCCTGTTGAAAGATTACGATTATAATCAATTACTGTAATTGCTTCTTTCTGATTATTGTAATTATATCTTTCTGTTATTAGGAAATAGAAACAAATCTGATCATATCAGATTTGATTAGAGTATAGAATAAGTTTCCTAAACTTGTGGGATTACTTTCCTTATTTTGCTGTTATACTGATCAGCATGATTGCTGGTTCTAGCCTATAATAATCGTAGGATGTACATGGTTAAATCAGAATAAGAAAATTCTCTTTTTTCTCAAAACTTCTCTCTCGTTCAGTTTCTCTCACTCTCTAATTTCTATATGGTATCAAAGAGGGTAGTCTAATCTCCATTATCATCTATAATCCTTCAAGTCTCCGATATTCCTCTTCCATCTCTCTCAAATCCTAAAGGTCAAGTATGGAATGGCCTCCTCTACAACTTCGGTTGCATCCACCACGACCATCTCTTCCGCTCAAGAGAACGGCGAATCCAGCGTCTCAACAAACTCTGACTCCTTATTGCTGTCGATCACAAGTCATAAATTGACTGATCGGCTATTAATACGCTAGAATCAGCAAATCATGCTGATTGTTACAGCAGTAAAAAAGGAAAAAAATCAAACTGATTCCCATGAATTTGGGAACCTTATTTGTAGGCCCTAATCAAATCTGATATTATCAGATTTAACTTCTTTCCTAAAAACAGAAAATACAGCAAAGGCAATAATAACTAATTACAAATTATCATAATCTTTCAACATTGCTACACCTACTTTACTACGACTAAGAAGTTTTATTCTCTTCTTTTCTACCTTTAACCGTGTCCAGCCACTGCCTATTAATAAGCTAGAATCAACAAATCATGCTGATTGTTACAACAGTAAAAAAGGAAAGAAATTAAACTGATTCCCATGAATTTGGGAACCTTATTTGTAGGCCCTAATCAAATCTGATATGATCAGATTTAACTTATTTCCTAAAAACAGAAAATACAGCAAAGACAATAATAACTAATTACAAATTATCATAATCTTTCAACATTGCTACACCTACTTTACTACGAATAACTTCATTCCTTATGTGATCCATTCTCGTAAAGCCACTCATCCATCTTAACATACACATTTCTGCCACACTCATCCTAGATATATGTTAGTCTCTTAATGGCCCAACATTCACTACCATATAACATAACTGGGCGAATTACAGTCCTATAGAACATTCCTTTCAACTTAATAGAGATCTTGTCATCACATAAAACTCTTATAGCATTCTTCCACTTAACTTACCCTGCATTAATCTGTTGAGACACCGAGTACCTACAATACAAAATCAACACACACAAGCACCACAAAACAACACCACAGCTAGACCACTGAAGGAACCTCAACCAAAGGATCCAATTCATTAATCGTCACTGGAAACCACGAGCTCTGCTCGGCCAATAAATCAAAACAATAAGCATTAGTTTTTCTCTCCACGTGCTCACTCTCACACAATCCTCTCCCTTAAAACTCCTGAGGCCGTTGTGACCTCCCTGCTCCCTAGGCACTATTCCCTAGACTAGCCTAACCGTCTATAGCCACCTCAGCAACCTTCCTCACGCACTCACATCCCTTCCCCAACCGAAAACGTTACGAGCTCCTCTAGAATACATCCATTCATATCTGTTCCGCCTAGGCTCGGGTGTAACAATACTCCCCTCCTCAAAAAGGACCTTGTCCTCAAGGTCGAAGATAGGGAAGCGGACTTGCAGCTCTTCCAATACCTCCTAAGTGGCGTCCTCGATGTCTCGTCCCTGCCATTTGACCAACACCTCCTTAATGTGCTGCCCTCCTTGCTTCTTCAGGCGACCCTGCAGCACGCTCTCTGGAAACAGCGGTTCTGGAGTGTCTGCCGCCGTGTCGACAACCACCAGTTCCTGTGAAACTGCACGCCTACCGACCACCTTTTTAAGCATAGACACATGGAAAACTGGATGTACCTTGGAACCCTCTGGCAGCCGCAGCCGGTATGCCACTGGACCTACCTTGCCGATCACTTCAAAATGGCCGTGATATTTTGGTGCCAATTTGTTGTTGCCACGCCTGGCCACGGTTCCCTGTCAGTAAGGTTGCAGTTTCAACCAAGCGAGCTCCCCAACCTGAAACTCTCGCTCCACCCGCCTTTGATCCGCATAGCGCTTCATTCGTTCTTGTGCACACTCAAGTTGCAACGTAACTGTTTGAGCTGCTTATCTTGTTCAGTGAGTTGCATATCCACAGAACCTACTGCGGTTTTGCCCCCTGTGTAGCGTATCAAAGTCGGGGGAGCCCGGCCATATAGGGCTTGAAAAGGTGTCAAGCGAGTAGCACCGTGGAAATTTGTTGTTGTACCAATATTCCGCCCAGCACAACCACCTACTCCAGTGCTTAGGCTGGCCACTTGTGAAACACCTTAAGTACGCCTCCAAACAACGATTGAGAACTTCTGTCTGCCCATCCGTTTGAAGGTTGTATGGCGAACTCATACGTAAGGTGGTGTGTTGGAGGCGAAACAACTCTCTCCAAAAAAGGCTAGTGAACACCTTATCCCGATCACTCACTATACTCCGAGGTATGCTGTGAAGGCGCACCACCTCTCGACAAAACACCTCAGCCACCACCTTCACAGTAAACGGCCACTTGAGAGCAATGAAATGCGCGAATTTGGTCAAGCGGTCTACCACCACGAAAATGACCTCATGACCATTGGATTTAGGCAGAGCCTCAATGAAATCCATCGAGATATCCTCCCACACTGCCTCTGGAATGGGTAATGGTTGTAGCAACCCCGCCGGACTCGTAGACTCCACCTTGTTCTGTTGACAAACCCCACACTCAGCCACAAAGCGTTGCACATCCCTAGCTATACCCGGCCAATACACATTAGCGCTAATTCGCTTG